TTTTAAGTGTTTCGATCTCTTTTCTCAGTTTTCAACTGATTGATTTCAAACTTGGTAGGTCTGATCACCATGGTGTGAAGTTGTGTTATCCTGAACTGCAGTTTGATTTGATTGCATTTGGAAAAGAGAGTTCCCCATATTGTTTTCATAATGTGTATGTTGTCCGGAGATTTCCTTTTTTAGCTTTCAACCAATTCTTTCAAAATTGGTAGGCTTAAATCACTATAACATGTTGTGTTTGTCTTTTTGATTTGATATGACAGTATATTGAAGAGTTACTGTCCTGTATTAGTTTCATGATGTAAATCTTGTGTAGAGATCTCCTAAGTTTTTATTGGCTTTTCAAACTTTGTAAGCTTTATAAATATGGCATGAAAATATGTTTCCCCTGAATGGTAATGGCAGTTGTACGCTACAGTTTTTGATAGCCTCATTGTCCTTAGTTTATTTTTGGTATGTTTTTTCCTCAGCATTTTAATCCTTTACTGAGATTTTCTAATTCAGTTCAGCTTTTGATTCAAGAACATTTCAAAATGTTACTGCTGTTATCTTTTCAGCATTTTATTTTTCTTTAAAGATTTATTCTTTCAGTATTCAACTCACCTCTTTAAAACTTATGTAAGTATGCTTCAATTTATCATCAAAACATATAGCACTGATTTCCCTCTCGGTATCTTTGTTTAATATTACATTTACCAAAGAGGAAAGAGCCAACGATGGTCAAATATGTTGGTAGGGTCTTTAAGCAATAAATCACTAAAAAATGGAGATGCTCAAGAAAGGTCTTGAACTCAGCAACAGTGATTCTGATAACATAGCTTCAATGCCCAATTCTTCCAAAGGCAATGTACTGACTACAAAGAACAAGGAGATGAAAGTGAGGGTACTTATTGCTAGGATGAAGGAAGATCAGACTTGTAAAGATGATCTACAACACATCTATCATATAACTTATTTTTATAAACAATATTATTATTTTTATTGAGCTGTAAAGAAGAATTATATAACATCTTCTCTTGTATAATATACAATACTGATTGTACATTAATAACATCCCTATAAAATTATGTCACATGACAAGGTTTCCACATTTTGGGTACGTTAGGGACTGAGATTTGTTGTAACTTGGCCCTAACAAGCCATAACTGTTGAAACTGGTCAGCATAGTATACTACCTACTCATGATGTGAAGCTGATTAAAGTTGAGAAAACTCCTACCTGATGTCTTCTTATTTACTGTACTAATTTTGAGGTGTATCAGGAAAATTTCTTTGGGAAGAGATGGGGTCATGATGTATGTTGTTACTACAGTGGATAGTAATTTCTGCGAATGCTAATTTTCTAACTACAGTCACAGATCCCTATGATTTAAATATCATGGCTTTTCCTTTTTTATATTTATAATTGATAACTCACAATTGTTTCAGTTTTTCACGTTTATTTGATGGTGAATTTATCTGTATTTTCCTTACATATACCTAGATATAGTTAGCCTTACTGATATATTAGTATTAATTAGCCTTTATACAATAACAACATATATTTATATTTGTAACTGAAGTTTTGACTTAGCCATTTACTCATTATTTATGTAGTCTTCAATACAAGCTGAGTGACTGGAATACCATATCTCTTTAGCCTTGCCCTTTGATGGATTTTAAATTGACCATCTTGTCAGGTTGTTGACAAGAAGAGGGAGGTAACTCTTCCCAAATGTTCAGCCTTGATTAACTTGATGCTGGGCAGCTTGTCTGACAGTCATGATGAGCATGACATGCATAAGAACATTCAGCTGCTACTGAGATATACTAACAACTGTGTATATCAATCATCAGGTTATTCACCTTGCTAATACATTAAGATATTTTACACAACTCTAAACAGCATTGAATATCTTTAATTTACACCGTAAAACATACAGCTAATTGTATGGATGCCCTGTATCATCAAAAGACTTTTACTAGCATTATTGTTAAAGCCACAACAGACTGACTTCCTCCGAATTGAAATGTTTTGGCTCTTTTTATACCTGTATATACAGGTTTAGAAAAACATTGACCAAATGTTCTTGTCCTCTAGAAGTCAGTAAACACCAGTTTACACTGTCCTATCTGACCAAATGTTCCTGCCCTCTAGAAGTCAGTAAACACCAGTTTACACTGTCCTATCTGACCAAATGTTCCTGCCCTCTGGAAGTCTGTGAACACCTGTTTACACTGTCCTATCTGAACAAAAGTGCTTGTCCTCTGAATGACAGTAAATACCAGCTAACATTGTCCTATCTGACCAAATGTTCTTGTCCTCTAGAAGTCAGTAAACACCAGTTTACACTGTCCTATCTGACCAAATGTTCCTGCCCTCTGGAAGTCTGTGAAAACCAGTTTACACTGTCCTATCTGACCACATGTTCCTGTCCTCTAGAAGTCAGTAAACACCAGTTTACACTGTCCCATCTGACCAAATGTTATTGTCCTCTCGAAGTCAGTAAACACCAGTTTATACTGTCCTATCTGACCAAATGTTATTGTCCTCTAGAAGTCAGTAAACACCAGTTTATACTGTCCTATCTGACCAAATGTTATTGTCCTCTAGAAGTCAGTAAACACCAGTTTATACTGTCCTTACTGACCAAATGTTATTGTCCTCTAGAAGTCAGTAAACAACAGTTTACACTGTCCTATCTGACCAAATGTTATTGTCCTCTAGAAGTCAGTAAACACCAGTTTACACTGTCCTATCTGACCAAATGTTATTGTCCTCTAGAAGTCAGTAAACACCAGTTTACACTGTCCTTACTGACCAAATGTTATTGTCCTCTAGAAGTCAGTAAACACCAGTTTACACTGTCCTTACTGACCAAATGTTATTGTCCTCTAGAAGTCAGTAAACACCAGTTTACACTGTCCTATCTGACCAAATGTTATTGTCCTCTAGAAGTCAGTAAACACCAGTTTACACTGTCCTATCTGACCAAATGTTCAGGTCCCATGGATTTCAGCATTCAGATAAGGAACGAGACAATCAGGGTTTCTCAATATATTTACTTTTCAGGAAATCCTGTAAAACAATTAAGTCAAGCCATTGAAACTTTTTACCACTTTTTTTCACTGAACAGAAGGTTCTAATATATTAAGACAACTGTAACTGACCTGTCTAACTGCTGGACCATTAGTCCTCTTTATACAATATTCTGTCTCATCAGACTGTCTGTGCTAAATGACCTATTTTTGAAGTCTTGAACTTTAACCCCACCCATGTACATGTGCATTCCATGCCAAGCAACCAGACAACATTGAACCCAGGGACATATAGTCTGTCTGTAGAATCTATACAGGTTTATACAAATTAGTACACCTGGTCAACCAAGTATAAAATTTAATCAGGACAGTTGATAAATGATTCACAGGTAAATCATTCACACCATATAAATAAAGTTGGTCTGGAATATAGGTGTACCTATATGTGCATATATTTGATATACACAGACATGAAATATATGTGCTGACTAGCTTACCTATATGTTAATGAAAAAAACTTAACTCACTGACTGGAAACAGATACTTAGGGGAAAAAAAGTTTTTTTGTGGTTTGATCTAAGGATTTACTCTCATTTTGTTCATCTTATCAAGTGAAAACTCTAATTGAATTCAGATAAATTGAATAACTCAGATAAATTGAATAACTAACAAAACAGATTATCTAATTTTTAAATAAGTTCAACCGTGATTTTCTATCATTATATCGAAATATAGTGTTAATCTGTATCCATAGCATGTAGTTTTATTTTGATTTATTCCAGTGTTAAAAGGAAAAAAAAAACAATTAGGTTGTCCAGCCTGAAATCTACTATCTACTACATATTATATTGTTACGCAATTTAAATACTAAATTTATTGAGGTCTAAAATAAATCCGAAATATTTTCACAAGGAAATACATCAAAAATATTTCAAACACTGTTTATTTTACAGGAGCATTTTAAAAATGCACACCATTGAAGCCCAGTGTGTAATATGTTAATCTTATGTAGGAGTGTTTGGTTCATCGACACATATCAAAGTGTACATGAGGGAAACTAATAAAGCCTTACTGATAATAGGCATTATAAGGGTTATATAGAGTCATTTATACCAGTAATTGTACATTTTTCTCAGTACTTATACAGATGCATGTAACATTAATGTGACTGTATTTCAACTTTGTATCACTACTATTTCAAAACATCCTTTCATTGGGATGTTGTCATGGTGGAATGTTTAAATAATTAAAGAGCTTCTGGACAAGGTGATTTGATGCTTTAGATGATGAGTAACCATTTAATTCAATTTCCCAAAGATGTTACAAACTTCCCTCTTCACTTATCTTTCTATATGCAGATATCTGTACATGAATATACATATTCATAAAGTCTTAGTCTTAGTATGTTTACCTATAAAAGGAGACTATGAAATTTAATTAACTGATATTATGCATCTGCAGAATGTATATAGGATCAGATATACAGACATATGCAAATGATGTGTTACGAATCCATAATTATGTTGATGGTGCATGTGGGAAGTTAATGTCTCTACACCTAAATATAAAGGCAGTGAATAAATTATGACAAAACCTTTTGTTCAATGTGCATGGAACACGTCTATACTTTATGAAGGAGACAAGGACTTCAATCTAACAAAAAATAAACTGCGACTTCATAAAAAATATCTGGCATTTGAAAAATAATGAAATTACACTGTTACATAAAAATATTTAGATTTCATAGCTTGATATTTTTTTCTGTATTTCAAAGTTTAAACGTGCATATGGATACATGTGTTTTCCTGAATATAATTTCTGTATTTAAATTATAACATATCAAATGATGAAACAGCCGTTTGGATTTTTTTGATGCGGATACGTTTGAGTAGTAGGTGTGTGGTTAAGCTGTAAAAGGTTTTGTGTGTATTAGCTAGACAGGTAGTGCAGACTTGTCCTTTACTTAGTCTGAAGTGCTCTCACCTGTTCGCCTGTCATACTGCAGAATTATGCAAATACCAGTCTGTCCCTCAAACTATTAGGTTGGGTACACAGTCAGACAAGCACAACAGCAGTGACTAGTCCGCCTCAAATCACATTGATCTGTCTGGTGTATATGATCTAGGGAAACATAAAGATACAAATATACACATGATGTTATACATTATCATGTTATATTACCATGTCTATAAAAAGAATTTTGAAACAGTTAAAATAATGTATCTTAAGTATTTATAGATAAGCTCTTGTTAAAAACATGTGACCTCTGTGCTATGTGCATACATGTAAAATGCAGCAGGGCGGAGTCAATGGTTGCATTCTAAGCAGATCGGTGAGCGAGAGGCTCATTTTTTATGTGCAACTGTGCATCTTAAATGTCTAGCATAATAGGAATTTGACCTGCAGCTTCTGTTGACGGAGTGTGTGTACCTTGCGATAGTCCTGTCTACAGTGCAGTTGTGTGCAGTGTCGATACGCATGGCTGGACACGACAAACAAGTATGTGTGTTTTGTATGCACAAGGTTTTACGCTTGACTGGTTTTTTGATGCACCCTCCTGTTTTTACATTGTGCAATTGCGCATGACTGTCAAATGTGAATGAAATCAGTCTACTTGCGGTGTTATGGGAACACATAATATAGGTACGGTCCCACATGGCTTAAAAAAATATAGATATTGCTTCGTCCTCGATAAGGTATATAATACAGAGAAGCAAGGTAAGGTACACAATTGATTGTGGGCAAGGGATGGGGGGTATTATGTAATAGGGGCTGGCAGGAAAGACAACCACCATTGCCTTATTTACATGTTGCAGGGGGGAGGCGCAGTACGACAGGTAAGTCAAGTGTGAACAGTTCAGCACCTGCTGGCACATTAGTTGATACATGTCTACACACACCAAATAGCATGCAAGATTTTTTATGCAGTTCTTTCAGCCCTTAGGGTATAAACATGTAAGACATGTGATTGGATCCAACATGGAGAAAATGTAATGTCTTATTATGTCTACTTGTTCACATGTTCAGTCTGTGTACTTGGTTAGAGAAATACAGGATTCTTATCAAATCTTGGTATATATTTCTACTTTTCTCATCAGTTTAACAATTTTGATCGTCTTCATTATGCTAAAGTGGATTTTGGTGGACAGAGGGATTTTGTGGTACTGACTGTTGGTGGCGCGGTAAATAATCCAGACAGACATCGCCCCGTGATACTAGTCCTGTAATGTATTAGCGTGTATAAGCCAAATGCATGTACTGCAACTTCCATGTTGTAGAATTCGGTTCATGTAAAGGCAAATGGGGTCAGCAATGGTGGAGGCCATATGAATATCTTAAGGTTTTTTTTCTCCATGATTTGTGATTTCACGGTAGGTAGCTCTTCTTTACCTGCGAATGGACACCATAATTGCTACATGCGGACTTGGATTTCTTTGATGTTCGGTGCATATTAAAATGCACCAGGAACATTTGACGCGGTGTTATTCACAGTTGAGAAAATGTGCACTACCTGTTCAAAGGCAGCATTTGTGAGACGGCCCATTGACGGTGTGTCGCCATTCCTGTCCGTTGTATGGAGTTGTGCAGAGAGCGCAGCACCATGCAGAATGTGATATATATGCCATTACTCGTAGCGACAGTACTATATTATCTAACATGCAGACGTAGTGGATCTAAGTACAGAACACAATTTTTTTTTGTATGTATTTGCAACTGCGCATGTGCAACTTCTTCGTATGAATACATTTTGTGCATGGTGGGTTTGAGGTCAAGATAAGAATGCTACACAACGAATGGTTAAAAAACTCATCCAATGTATCGTCTTTGTTGCTGTATCTGCAAGGTAAGACATTTGTCTGGCATTTCAGGGCCTGATTCTGGGCGGGAAATCGGTCAGTGAGACCCTCGTTCGATTTTTGAGTGCACCTCGATACAGTTTGTATCGTAGTTAATGGTGGTCTACATATACTAGACATTTCAGCTCTATTGTTTTCTTGCCGACTAATATTTTCACGAAGCCAGAAGTCGGGCAACTTCTAGGGATGGCAACTTTGTTGCTATGTAATATATTTGTTGGTGAAATCACCGTGAAAATTTGGTCTAGAATAACTTAAGAGAGAAAATGTCTTTATATTTGGAAAGGTAAATGGAAGGGGACAAGAGTGGGCGCGAGCTTGTCAAGTTTCTCAGGGACAATTTTTTATGTCTCGCATTGCCACGCTTTAACATTTTTGTCCATCCAAATTTAGGAAGTGATGATGAAATGTATATATGAAAATAACCCCCAACTACGGTGACTGCCATTTTGTATATTGTATCGATCGACTCTATTTGTCTTTTCTGCTCGATATTTACAGGAGTTATATGTTTCGACATACCCGTGCTTATCAACTATGGCTACCGGTACCGGTCATGTTTTATAGGAGCCAATGAATGCAGGGGAATGCTACTCATATACCTCCTAACTTCTTCAGAGCCTTTACACAATTAGAACTTGCAGTGTACGTAGCTTGTTGACGTTGCGGTATACTAAATTTGCGCGAAACCTTGGAATTATGTTGTATTAAGAGATGAATTTTGACGATAAGACGTCATACTGCATTTTGAATGCTTGAACAAAATCTGGTTTATTCTGATCCGGGGGTAGCTCCAAGCACCATGCACCAGGCTCCATGGTTATGTTACCGCGGGGCGGCCTCCAGATTTCTTCACACTTATTTCAAAGGTAAGGTCTTCTATTTTACATAGCGCCCGCCACATAGAATTCTTGATCATTCTTTCGTTTCGCATTTCAAAATTTAACCAAATGTTCATGTTGGTGTTTTGTTTGTGAAAATAACCAGCTAAAAGTAACCAACATTTGTCTTACTTATTTTCTCAAATACAAGTCCTTTTTATACTTTCTACACCTATGGCTTGTCTCGAATGTTTCACAGGTGATTTTTCTATCGCGTTAAAAAATAAGGAACTTTCTCGAAATCATTTTCCCCTTCGGTTTTAGTTTTTGTTTACTAGCTGTTTTCTCATTTTTCTTGAAAGGCAAATATTGAAGTTTTTCGCTTTAGTGTATGCCTTTTATATTTCATTTTCTCCTTGAAATGCCAAGTTTGAAATGTCAGTTCACCTCAACATATTACTGGCACTTTCTGCCATTTTTTTCTATCAACCTGGAAGTATGTTGGCTCAGACATGCACCAACCATATGCATTGTAGGTAGCTGTGGTCACATGACTTATTACGCTACAGTCTCATCGTTGTCGAAGCACTGTCGCGTACCTGAAGGAAATACGCTGTTTTGATACAAACTAATGATTGATTCTTTGTTATATATTTCAACACTTACTTGATTTTTCATAACACATATATTCTCTTTATAACACATAGAATTTGATTTCTTTTTTTTTCTTAAACGAATTGATTCGAAAAAATTGCTAGGATTACATATAATAAAACTTGGAAAAAATATTCCGGTAAGGGAAATATAAAACATTGAACGATTCAGTTATTATTTGTGTTAAAAACAAATTTGCTCGATAATAATTTCTATTGTATGTTTAATCAACTATTTTTAGAATCGACATAATTAGTCGACAGTGATATTTTATATATCACCGTAATCAAAATACTATACTGGTGATCTTCACTAAAAAATAGAAATCATTCTTTGTAATTATTTAGAAATAATTTTTGTAAGTTATTTATCTTTATGTTGAAAGTCAGACTTTAGATATCTTTAAGTGAAAATGTCAACTTTTAACCTCGCGAAGGCAGAAAAATGGCAAAATGGGGCGGGAATATATCTGAAAAATCTGTTTTAAAAAATCACAAAATTTCTGTTTTTCCAACTTAGTTGATTTATTCAGTTACGTAATATTCATACATTATGTTCATGTCAAGGTTGTTTCTATTCTCTTTATTCTGCTTATTTATCACCATTTGCTATGACACATGTGTGAATTCTGCAAAACATACATTACTGTACAGGTATAAAAACATTTATCACTGATGCGGTACTTACCAAGCTACCATCTGCAATAAAATGATGCTCTTTTGTATGATATTGTCTTACACCAAATTATTTAAGTCTTAGTTAAGGTACATGTGTGGCCCTTCGTGTTGACTTGTCTTAAATGTTGCCAATGATTTCCAGTAAAATGTCAGACTACATCAATTAAAATGAAAATTTTGGGTAGGAAACAGTTTAATGTTTCCAGAAAAAGAGGTTGTTTGTTCACAAAAATCGTAGTCGTAAAAATACTACAGCAGACTTTGTTATTTAACAGTTATACATAAGTATAGATTTTGTTCACAGATTTTTGGATGTAGAAAACGATTAGAATCACTACATAGATGTTTTCATCTAGTCCATAACTGTTTTAGCACTAACAACTTTAAAATCTCAAAGAGGTTAAAATATATCGTTCGTTTGTGGTGCGAGGTGATATTTACCAATATAAAATATGGTTAAAACACCAACATAAAATGAAGATGAAACCTATTAGACAAGTATATAACATAATTAATCATGAATAGGTAAAGACCCTGATTTCTTGAAAATAACAATTACTTCGGGACAAAAGATATTTAAAATGAAAAGTTCTTTTATATACTATATTATAACTTTACATTTATACCACAATGGCACTTAATACTCTAACCCCAAAAAAGGGCAATTTAATTTTTGATTGTCCAATGTATGACCATTAAAATGTCATTACTGTTGGCATAGAAACAGGGATGGTACATCACCAAATTGGCTGCACTTATCAAATTGCAGTTTGGTACTAAATGCTGAATGATTTGCCCATTTCTATGAAACTTTTCAAGCTTTTAAAAATCATTTTCAAATTGATTGTGAAAATTTTCGGTATTTAAAAGAAGTTAAAGTACAAAGTTCGGTTGGATAAAAACTATCTATTAAAAAAAGTAATAAAACAAAACAAAAAGAAAACAAAAACACAAAATGAAAAACAAAACAAACAAATTGGTATGAATTTCTGCTTTTAAAAAAAAAGGGAAATAAAGTATGATTTTGTCCACATAAAAGGTAGTAAGGATTTGTTCTCGTTAA